AAAAGAAATCGTACCGACATTTTCTTTTACGAGTTGGCTAAGACAAACACAATTCGATTACAGGCAAACTGAGTCAACTTTGGTATGTTTATATTATCACTGTCTTTGTTTCCATTTTTTGGCTTTGTAAGAGTTTTTACAATATCTAAAAAAACTTCAATTTTATCATGTTTCAAATTCTACATGTGAAAAGAAATTTGTATCACTAAGCTAACATTGAAGTCAAACATTGTTCTCTCGTTTACAGATGCATTTAGAAAGCTTGCTTGGAACAGAGGTCTTTTGGCTTTTTAATAGCATCTGAAGCCTTTCCGATTGAAAACGAAGGTAATCGTCTGCTTAGACTAGCTAATAAAAATTTATGGAGCGTATAGTAATGAAGCCGATGCTGAGATTACTGCGAAAGAAGATAATGGCTACTTAAATCCTGAAGATCATTTTTATGGGAGAGATTTGCGATGCATCATAAAACACGAAAGTGTACTGCGCTGTAATTGCGTGATTTTCATCGAAGTCGTCTTCATAATTGCCGAAAATTACTGCCAGCTTCTCTATAAAAATTCAAAAATGAAAGGCAAAGGTATTCATCGGTTCTGGCAAACCGATGAATATGCATTTCCAATAAAGACACTTTTAGGCATACTTAAAATGCACAGAATGTCTAGAGGTTCACGTAAAGCAGGACCCAAACCCAGTAGCCTCTCCGAGATTTGCAATCAAAGAATATGAACAGATTGTTCACTAAAGAAAGCGAAAAAAAGGAACACAGAGTTATCAAATCTATTTATTTAGGTAGTGATTGATCTTCTCTTCTGCTCGAAGGACTTTCGCTGACGTCAGCTACCATACTTTAGAATTACAGTGTGCGCTCTATATAGGACTATTTTCAAATTATCGTAGGAAATCAAAAGGGATGAACCGTTAAGGGCTATATTTTGTCTCAGAAAGGTACCAAACACTCCGAAACCTTGAAAAAAAAATTGACCAGAGTTAACCAGAGTTCAAATTCCTCCTTTTTTGCAATAGCACGTACTTCACAAAGAGCTGCATGATTGAGGTTTCTACCAATTACTATGTGTACTGCAAATCTGATCCAAAGCCGCTCTACAGAATTTTACCCAAAGGTTGGCGAAAGGCATTTGAACAAGAAGAGATTTAAAGATAAGGCAGTGCAAACTTATTTTTGCGATTTTCTGTATAACTAACTGCCAGACAAATATGAAAAACATCTGTTCTCTGATCAGCACAGTAGTAGACAACCATGGAAGTTTCCCCAACCCCTCAAATCCGAAAAAAAGGAAATCCAAATACTTGTGTAAGTCAATACCTGTGGGTAGTATTCTGAGAAAATGATGAATGCAGAAAGTTCATTTTTTCGATTTCCTTCCATTTGTGCGTCAATGCAGGATTTGATTTGTCAAAAAAAACTTACTACATATTTTCCATCGTGTAACATGTTTAGCTAATTTCTTCTTCTGATTCTTACTGAGAGGTTTTACTGCTTAAGTTGATTTATTTCGTCTCTGTAAACCATTAA